ATTGTTGTTGTTATTGTTACTTATTCAAAAACAACTATTTCTCAACTATTAAAGCAGATGAAATTAAATAACTTAAATTAAATAATTGCAACAAATGGAAGTTACCTCTCCAAAAGAGATGGCCTCCGGACCCGTGCCTTCAGTCGCTGAGTCGCGGCCCGCCATACCCGTTACGGCAGCCGTTGGGTAGCCGGCCACACTAGCCGCTGTTAGGGCACCCGCTTGGTCGGCCGCCTCAAGAAAAGCTTGATTCGTGAAATCTTCAGAATCTCTTAAGAAGTCCATGACGTCGTTCTCGTTCATCATTTTTGGCTCTTTTTTTCTTTTAATTTTTAACAGTTCTTTTGCTTCTAACTATGCGAATTAATGTCGCAAGATGGAGAATTTCAAATTTTTCGCCCCTCTTTCTTTTTTGTTTTCTTCTCCTGAGAGGTCCAACTGTAGCGTATATGCGACGTTTTGCTTTCTTTTTTCTTTTTGTTTCAAATAATAAACTATACAACAAATATGCGAAATAACAGCTGTCGAGTAATGCCCGCGTAACAAGCGCCATACTTTCGCAATTCCGATGCATTTTTAATAAACAAAATAAATATAATGGTTTAGTTTCCGTATCTCTTTCGCAGTTTAATACCATGCGGTAGACCTGCGAATTAACGCATATCCATCGTGAGACGGTCGCATAAAGAATTAGACCAAAATAATTGTTTAATATAATTGTTTTACACAAAAAATGGGTATGCGAATATCCTCCAGTTGACATGCGAATGCATTATGCGACAGTTTATTTGTCGCAATTATGTGTGTCGCAGAATAGAAAATCTCCAAAAACAATTTTTGTTTAAATAAACTCTTCGATTATACTACGAATGTTGTGCAGTTTGTATGCGAATTTGTTTCGACTAATTGTTTAAGCAACGTTTGTATTTCGACTAATTGTCGCAGGTTCATTAGCCTAAACTACGTGTTATGCGTTTATTGTGCGTAATATTTTCGACTAATAGTCTCAGGTTCATTTCGCCTGAAAAAGAATTTTCAAAAAATTAAATTCTAAATATAATTTATTATGCAACCACTAGGCGAATAATACGCGACGTTTGTATTTCGCAGAATAGAAAATTTCCAAAAATATTTTCTTTTTCTTATTATGCACCAACTAGGCGAATAATATGCGAAGATTGTATTTCGCAGAATAAAAGATCGAATAGAAATCCCTACACTACTACTTTTACAGTCGCTTCAACCCCAGCCGATTACAAAGTTAAAAAAAAAAAAAAATCGAAGGACCAGCCAAGCCTAAAAAAAAGCTAGGACGAGGGAGCCGACGAGCTACCAACCTACCACAACACTCAGACGCCAGGAAGATGAGTTGTAGGTGGAGCTTGTTTGTGGAGTTCCATGTAGAACTCCAACATGAGATCGACCCCGACCACCACGCTCTGAACCGATGGGCTCTGCCGGGTTCCGGGAAGAGATCCCCGTCGACCAAACACCTTCCTCTGTCAGGAAAACCTGGCCGACCACAACCTAGAGAGGTTGAGGTCAACATTGCCTCTGACAGAGGGCCGGGCCGTTACGCCCCGGCCGCCGATGAGCAACGTTCCGACCTTTAACCTTCTCGCAGTTGATACGACAATACCTGGGCCCGGAGGTTTGATCTTCATAGTCGCTGCCTCGGCATATATGTTTCATGCCGGGGCCAAGTTAATAAAGTTGGATACCGGAATTTATGCTCGTTGAATTTTTTTCTCTGACGAATTCGAAAGGTTAGGAGTTCTCAATTCGGACACAGTAATGTTAAAGAATTGCCTCACGGGTCGAAAGAAAGAATTTTTGTAACTCTGGTTTATCTCCGGCGAACTGCTTCTCATATACAAGAAAAGGGAAAAACGGAGGGCATTGTATGGATCGAAGATTACACGCTTTATATAGACGGATGAAACGATTCGCGTGCACGCTTTTACTGCCCAGGCGTTTTGAAAAGCGGATAAGACGCCTCGAAATCGGCCGTAACAGTCCAACTGCCAGCGGTTTCTAAACCATTCAAAAATTTAAATTTTAAAAATAAACTTTCGAGTAGAAGCGCGAAGGGGGTATGCGAGCAATATGCGGCAATTCGCATACCCCATCGCATAACTGAACTAACTGAAAGATGAAAGAAATAAAAAAATAAATAAAAAATACATTTTCGAGTAGAAGTGCGAAGGGGGTATGTGAGCAATATGCGGTAATTCGATACCTCATCGCATAACTGAAATAACAGAAAGACGAAAGAAATAAAAAATAAACTTTCGAGTAGAAATGCGAAGGTGGTATGCGAGTAATATGCGGCTATTCGCATACCCCATCGCATAACTGAAATAACTAAAAGATGAAAGAAATAAAAAAATAAATAAAAAATACACTTTCGAGTAGAAGTGCGAAGGAGGTATGCTAGCAATATGCGGTAATTCGCATACCGCCTCGCATAACTGAAAGATGAAAGAAATACGAAAAAAACTTATTATGCACTAATTCCGCGAATAATATGCGACGTTGGCATGTCGCAGTTGTGTCGAAGAATAATTTTTCGACTAATAGTCGCAGTTCATTCGCCTAACAAAAATAATTATTTAATAGGCGACGGACCGCGATTGACCGAATCGTACATCGAATCTCCGAATATTCATTGTAGAACAGTCGCATAATTTAACTCATAATTTTATCGCCTATGCTCATACCTGTCGCCTATTTAGCGCATAGATCATCGCATATGTCTTCGTACTTTTTGGGGTGAAAAACTTAGCTTTTTATTGGGTGGTGTGAAAAACTTAGTGTGACTTGTGAAAATAGCTATTTCCTCATTTATTTACCCTATAAAAAGTCCATGACAAAGTTTTTGTGCTTCCACCAAACATAAATACCCGCACAAGATATCCTCCTCCTTGTCACATACTCACGTCTCCACCGAAGCTGTGCTCCTAAATTGACGGAAAAAACCTAATCGCCACGTCAAAAACCTCCGGCCAACAATCCCCGCATCAAAAACCATGGGCATCCTTAAGGAGGAGGTTCTGAAAGAGCCGCAGAGACTCGCGGAGGACGTCGGCGACAAGGAATTATTCAAGCACTCGCGCCTCCGAAACGAAAAGAAATGCGAGGCCGAGTCTAAATCCCTCCACCGCCAGAAGCAATCCCATCTCGATCATCATCAGAATGACCCTGCCTCGTCCTCGTCCAACCCTAGCTCCAAGCCGAAAATCCCCAAATCAATGCTCGAACCCTCCTCCAAATCCCTCGCCGAGGAGCAGAAAGGCGCGCTGTAATGTTTCTGTTTCGTTGTCCTGAATTTTTACGTTTTATATTTCCTCCATTTTTTTTTTCATATTTACAAAGTGGATAGAAGATAAGTGGTGAATTTGCGTTCTAAAGGTCGGTCTGTTTGCATAGGTTATTGTAACATTGGATGATAGAATTTGGTCTGTGTGCATAGGTTATTGTATTATTGGATGATAGAATTTGAAATTGTTCTATGATTTTGCAATGTCATGGAAAAATCTAGATTTTGGAGTGGGGCAAGATTTGAAAATTTAACCGTAAATGAATGGGCAAATAAGTGTATAATTATTTGCACGGGTTCAGTAGTAGGAAATTTGCGATTCAGCTTGCACGGGTTTGCTTGAATCACACGCACATTTTATTACAGGGATTATTTATCAGTAGGCATGGATCAGGATCACGACCAGCAATGGCTGATCAGTTGCTCGAATGCATCACTCGATCCCAACCAACCAGGTGATTTAATTAAATAGGTTTCAGAAATCGCAAGTGTCTGATGTCAATGTTCTTTCTAGGGATGGAATTTGTTGTTGTATGAGTGGAAATCCCCGTGTTATGAATCCAAGAGAGAAATCTTGAATGGATGTAATTTTATAGAATTTTGGAAAGTGTAGGATATTTGAGAGCAAGTTTTGATGGATAAAATATGCGTTTTTTGTTTTTATTTTATGGGATGCTACTGTAAACTTTGCTTCAATTATGTTGTTGATCGTATAAATTGAACACTGATGCCAAGTTTGCTGTGCAACAATGTCATTTTATGAGTAAAGGTGAAAGCTTTAATTGCTAAATGACCAATAACAGCAGAATCATTGGTTTATTTATATCCACATATTTTTTAGAGGATCATTCGTGTTTCTTGTTTAGTATGACTTCAGTGTTAGCTGATAACCAGTGGCCACTGTCTCGAGGATGTGGACGCCTTAACAAATTCTGCACTTTGTTTCCTTTTGTTATTTATTGCAGTATGAGATATTGAACTGATTTTACATTACCTTTTGAACTTCTGCAAAAGGTTACGGTGTTGCTCTTGCTAGATTTGCAGCACAGAAGGAAGAGGTATTGGAATTGCGGGAGATATCCTTGATGATGCTGAGATTTAATTATGGAATTTACCTATTTTTTCGTACATAATTTACTATTCCTATGCGTTACATATAGTCCAGTCGAGTTCCTTTTAGCTTAGCCATTGTCAGATTAACACACATTCACCTAGCAGCAGTTTTGCTAGAGCGATTTATCAGAGAACACTGGAATGAGGATGAGGAAGGCCTTGAGCATCCCGTTGTTGAGAGCAATGAGAAGGTGCACCCGAAAATATATCAAAGCTTTTATACAATTCGAAAATAAGATATACCTTTTTAAATAATATGCTTTTACTTTATAAAAAATCTACTTAAAAAGTATCCTGTGAGCTGCAGTATTGACAATATTTCTTGTCTCAAATCCTTGATTCGTGTTTCTTTCTGAGGTGATAGGGAATTAATGAAGAGATGTTAAAGTTTAGTTAGAGCTTTAGATACTTTTTTTTTTCTCTACTAAATAACTGGGTGTTAAATTTGATGAACTTAAGTTTCTGCTCAGCTTGGCTGGCATTGATTATTTGGAGACATGTAAGATAGATGAAGCTGGACAAGGTTGATTACATGTTAATATATCACCTAACTCTGTTATTCTATCAGGAAACTATGAAAGGATTACTTTTAGCATTGCTTGATGATCCTAGTAAGAAGATCCGCACTGCAGTAAGTGTGGCTGTATCGGCGATTGCGCCAGAAGATTGGCCTGAATTAGTGCCTTATCTTTTAAATTTAATTTACAACAACAGTACACTGAATGCTGGTGAGTACTTAATATGTCTTTATAATATGCTAAACATTTCTTGAAAGGAAAGCCGAACTTACTTTTTTTTTTTTTTTTTTGTTTTTAATGCAGTGCATGGAGCTTTGCTGTGCTTGTCTCTTATTTCCTCGGACATGGATGGCGAGATGGTGGCCCAACTTGCCCCAGATTTATTCCCATGCTTGCAATCGATGATATCGTGTCCTGAGGTTAACCTTGTCAAATACTTTGCATGTTGTATTTATGAAGATTGTTGATTGAATTCAGAAGAAGACAAAAATGTTTAAATCTGTAGGAAAAGAGGTAATTAAGGCTAGGAATGGAAATGGACACTGCTTATCTAAATCACATATTTTTATTTATTTTTTGGTTAATATGGGTATTTATAATTAGTTATGTTTATTTAGCTTCTACTGCAGCATTGGTGACAAATTTTAATATACAAGGAAATTCAAGAGGTCCTTTTCGCTTTCCACATAGTGTTTTTTTTTTCTTTTTTAATTTCATTCTACTTTTTATTTTTATTTATTACTTCATGTATTTTTATATCTTCTGTTTCTTACAAATTCACTGTTAGAATGTCCCTGGAATCCATTAATGTTGTGATACAGAGGGTACTCTTCAATCAACTTCTCATCTATCTGTGGATTCTAATGTGCAGAGCTATGACAGAAGTCTGAGGTCTAAAGCTCTGTCTCTATTTCATAATTGTACTTCACTGGGTTGGGCTATGAGTGGTGTATACAAGGTATTCACTCAGCTCAGTCAATTGATCAAATGCACATAACTTATTGGGATAAAAACCGATATTTACGTGTTTTGTGGTGAGTAGATGGGAACACCCACCAAAATGCTGAAACGTTGGATAAAAGGATTCTCGTCAATCTTGTCAGAGCCGGTGCCATCTGAAGATCCTGATGATTGGAGCATAAGGAAGGAGGTAATTTTTTTCCTAGTTTCTTTTTTCTTTCAATTTTCTTGATGATGTCTTTTTGCAGAATGCTGACTTCTACCAATTCATTTTGCCGACTGGCCAGGTGTTAAAGTGTTTTAATCAGTTCATTCAGAACTTTCCCACCTTTACAAAAACTTATTTTGCAGGTATTGTAGATCAAGTGTTCTGGTGTAGTTTCTAGTACCCTGGTTATGATGATAAATTGTTTTTTTTTTTGTTTTGTTTTTTGTTTTTTTGTTTTGTTTCGCGCATCCTTTTGTTCTTTTTTCATAGTTTCTCACTCCGGCTGTATTTCAGTAATTCGGGCTCCATTTTTTTAAACATTTGGGTCAATGTCGGAAGTTTATGAGCGCTCAGCGGTTTTAGGCCATGAAAATCCCTATGATGATTGGTATGATTCTGACGGTGCTGAGCAAAGTCTCAAGTCCTTTGTTATCCAGGTTAGTACACTCTTACCTGATCTGTGAAGTTTGGTCAAGGAAAAGTAGCATCAAATAAAACTTCATGACTAAACTGTGCACTTGTGCTGACTTCTTACAATGAAATGTTTTGTTTCTTTTATCTGGTTGGAACATATCTAATCATAGAGCTGGGTCTGAAATGGTTTTTGTAATTTTCTTCTTTCCTGAAGGTGTGTGTTAAATATGTGTGGTATGTGTTCTGTGTATAGCATGTTAGCTTGAAAATGCATTGCATGTTTGTGAATGCATGGGAAGCGTGTGTAGCATGTGCTTGTATTGTGTGTATAACACTTGTGTAGTGTGCATGTGTGAACTTTGATGACAATTAAAGATCTTAATAGAAAATTTTTCGTCTTTTGGTTGGGTGATTGTGGAATAATTGCAATTTTGTATTTGACATGCTATTCCTGGTGTTGGGGGGTGCAGTTATTTGAAGTTTTATTGACTGCTACTAGAAGCCCGACGTTTGTGAAGGTATGCTGCAAAGCCATCTCCCTATTGTCTTTCTCTGGATTCCACTTTCGGATTTTTTGGAAGTCTTTATTTTTTCATGTAGGTTGTTGTGAAGGATGTATATGAGTTAGTCTACTACACTATTGGTTTCCTTCAAATGACTGAAAGCCAGGTACTCCCCCTCAACCCACCTCTCTCTCTCTCTCTCTCTCTCTCTCTCTAAGTTTATATCCGGATGTGTATATGTTGTCGGCTGGGCCCAATTGGACTGTAACATTTTCTTTTGTTTGAGTGTTTCCACCTGTTTATTCTTGGATATTTGAGTTCTGAAACTTAGGGTGAGCGATTTTGTATTAAAGTTTCAATTTGCTTTTCTAGTTAGTCTGCTGCTTATGTCCATTGCAAATGGAGCTGGAAGAGTCATTGTTGACAATTCTCCTGGCATGGTGCTAATAATGGACTAGATCAAAATGGCTCAATTAATTTCTAGTGCTTCTTCTATTAGTGAAGTTTCTAGAAAAAAAATATCAAACGACGCATGCACCTTGGATCGCTACGGAAACAACCTCCTTGTATAGTTACAAGGGTAAGGTCTGCGTACCCCAGACCCCAACTTGTTGGGAATATACTGGTTATGTTGTTGTTGTTGTTGTTGTAGTTAGTCTGCTGCAGCTACATATGCATATGCATATGCAAGATCTCTTTTTACTGTCAAAGATACTAATTGTGAGATTACTTTTTAGAGGAGCAACTCGGGTCAATATGTCCTTTCTTTTCTCTGTACATCTCATCATCTCATGTTTGTATGACATGGATGTAGGTTCAATCCTGGTCAGACGATGCTCACAAGTATATTGCTGATGAGGATAACAGAACTTCCTGTCGTGCATACAGTAAATAGTTTCTGGAATTGGCAATACATTGTTCGTTAGTTTCTGCTAATTCAGAGTGATTACCCACTACATTCTTGTACAAACCCAGAGATTGCATCACATGGATTTCTTTTAAAAATTATTTTTCTACCTTGTGGAATTTTTGTACCTTGCAGGTGCACTTCTGCTGCAAGAGGTAATATCTAACTGCGGGACCGAAGGCATAAAAGCAGTGATCGAGTCTGTAGAATTGCGAAGATACGAGTCCCAACAGGCGAAAGATACTGACTCTCCTGATTGGTGGATAGTAAGTCGAACAAATTCACGACTTGATTTACTGCATAAAAATGTTATATGGACATTGTAACTTGCTAAACTGGTTTTTCAATTTATATATATATTTTTTCCTTTAAAATCATTTAACTTGTCAACGTGCTTGCAGTTAAGGGAGGCTGCCCTGTATGCTTTGGCTGCTTTGGCTTCTGTGCCTAAACAGTTGTTGCTTGATGAAGTAGAGGTTGGCCCCTGGCCCTTGACATTCTTTTTTGATCTCTATTCTGTATAGATGCTGGGTTAATAGTTCGTTTAATGCCTATGTTCTGATTTCTTAGGTTTCTGGTTCCACTGTTGGAGCTATGCTACGGCGAATTTTAAGTGATGACATGGCAGAAGGTGAGACAAGCACTATAAGATGTATTGAAAATTCTTTCCTGCTAGTTCAATCTATATTTTATTTATTTATTTATTTATAAATGTCCTTGTTTATTTACAGGCTTCCATGACTACCCCTTTCTTTGTGCCCGCTTATTTTCATCTGTTGCAAGATTTTCTTCCATGGTAATTAGTGAAAACTGAACAGCCTCCATTTTCCTCTGCCTGCCTTCATTATCCTAAACACAGCTCTTTCATCTTCCTGCAAGATCTCATTTGGTTTTAATTATGTGGACAGATGAACAACCAAGTAACAGATGACTTCGTATGTGCTGCTATGAAGACAATTGGAATGGATGTGTAAGATCTTGGTTTATTTAGGTTTTTAAACTCCCCAACATGATGTCAGTCACTCACTATTCCTTCTTTTACAGACCTCCACTAGTTAAATTTGGTGCTTGTCGAGCTTTATCTCAGCTTTTACCAGATGCCACCACCGGAATTGTTCAAGATTATACGGTGGACTTATTCTCGTCACTTATAGATCTTCAAAAAAATGTAAAGTGAAATGTACCTGGTGTGTGTGTGTGTGTTTATCTGGTTTCAGCATTTGTTCGATATTTAATTATATTATGTTTTTATTTTCTTTACAGGCCTCTGATGAAACTATGCATTTAGTACATGAAACTCTGCAAGCAGCTACCACAGCTAGTTACTGCAATAAACTTCACGTTTGACATTCAGATTGTTGAACATCATGTGGCCACATATGATCATCGTGCATGCAGCAGGACTGGGCTTTGGGCCATTGCAGCTTCATTTCCTTTGTTGTGTTATTTGCGAAGTCGCATTTGTCTTTTATTTTTTCGTCTTGGTGTTTTTCATTAAGTGATACAATGCCGTTTCCTTTAGCATTTCAAATTCACATCTAGCGCTATAAATGAACATGTGGGGGCTTCGTGTTTCGGTTAAGAAATGAAAATTTGGGATTTTAGATATTTTCTCCTCCTTTTCTTCATGGTATCTATTTTTCTTGATGGTATCTAGAGCAAATTGATCTTTCTCTTGAGATCTTAAAATTCCTCCATAGAAATGTAGAGACATGATTAAACGCGAGAGGAGGAGGTGCTGGAAATGAAGCTCGTGAGGAGGATCGAATACCATTACATCCAATTATTTGGCTTGGAAGCGATATCGGGCTTGTGCAACGACGAAATTAGGATTCATTGACGGTTCGGTTGAATCATCACGCATAGGAGATTCAGAATACGAGAAATAGATGAAGGTAAACTGGATGGTAATTTCTTAGATTTTGAATTCACTTTCAAGAGAAATAGTTGATGCATTTATATATTCTTATTGGATGAAATCGGGCAGAGATTTGGAGAGAAGAATGGTCTGTTTATCTACCAAAATTATAGAGAAATATTTCTAGTCTAAATAAAGGATGATACGGTGATGATGTATTTTAACAAACTTAAGAAGATCTGGGATGAATATGGTTGTTTGTTACCCCAATTGGTGATGATGTATTTTAACAAACTTAAGAAGATGTGGGATGAATATGGTTGTTTGTTACCCCAATTGGTTTACAAATAGGAGATTGGAAAGAAAATGACAGAACAAAAAATGCAAAACGGTTAATGCGATTCCCAATGGGGGCTATATTCGTTCTTCACTCACGCGTAACGATCTGCGTTCAATTACATTGTTCCAACGAACAAAGCGAAACGAAGTTCAAACATCGAGAGTTCCAAACCTCGCGGTGTTACAGCTGTATCGAGACTGGATATTTTGTTCGTTGGGTCAATGTTTGATCGCGTGGATGCGAGCCGCGCGACCCAGTCGCCTAAAGAACCTGATCGATTCGTCTCTCGGAGATGGTGAACAGTCGCTTCGGAATGTTCGTACCGAGAGCTGAAAGCGAGCTAGCGAGACAGGTGAGAGTCAGTCTCCGAAATGGGTTGCCTGAGCTGTGGCACAAGGGTTCGATTATTAGATCTGGTGCCCGTGACAAGAAAGGGACGTACTTTGGCGAGAAGTGCCCCTATATTCACTAGGACGGCTCGAATACCTATCTTCGGATCGAGCTGACTCGGGCCGAGAGGAACAAGCGGATAAAAGGGGTTGCGGTCGATTGGTTCGTCCGCTACAATTCTGTGGCTCTGATCTTGAGCTGTTGGACGGCCCACGTGGTGGACGCTTCGATGGTGTCGTTGATGAGTTGGGACCCTGCGACCGAGCAATTAGCAGAGTTATAAACGAATCGAATCAAAGCGAATACTCAGAGATTCGATTCAGATTCGTTAAAATATTCGAAGATTCAAATTCGTATTCGAT